GAGTGTGTATATAATTAAGAATACTGTAATTAGTAAGTTCTATGCCATGCCATTATTTAATTATAAATTATTATATACCCAAAAGACTGTTTATATGCCTGTATACATACATTTTACATGTGTGTGTATACATATTTTAATATGTATTTTGAATACACATACATGTTCCAAATACACCACTGTAATTACTGCACTTGTATTTTCTCCCTAGGCAGCTGCCTCTGGGCATGCTGCAGACACAGCCCATGCCCAGCAGCAGATGCACAGCGTGCTGGAGTGCTGTGGTTTGGGCTGGGTGCACACAAGGTTCAAATCAAGGTTTTGCTGGCAGAGCCAAGGTGATGAACACTGAACTCACCTCAAGCTCAATCTGCAGGACACAGGAGGGGGCTGTTGCTGCCGGACACTATTAAATGTCCACAGCACCATCCCAGGTAGGGTTTTTCCTGAGCTTGCTGCAAATCAAAGCAATCCATATCGGCTCTAGACATTACAACACCCAGCTGAAACTAAAGCGATGCTTTTACTGCACAGAGGTAAAGATGCAGCACTAAGGTCTCAACCCACAGTTACAGGTAGAGGGGGAAAAAAACAGCAAGAAAAGTAACATCTCTACTCATAAAACTCTTAGAAAGCAGCAATATCACCCATCCTGGTATAAAGTGTTTATTTGAGACTTCACAATTAACACAAAGTCTTCCTTTCAATGCCTTTTTCATACAGTCAATAGATTCATATTAATCCCTCCCCCATGCATGACTGCTGTTTATTAATCTAAGCTTTTTTATTTTCATCATGAAAAAATAAAGCGTTTCCCCACCATTTCATCTGTTCACGGTACCACTGACATCTGCTGTGCTGCATTAAAGAGGAGAAGATGTAGAATGGCTATGCCTACCACTGGGGCTGAAATTACTCCATTATTTATTTATTTATTTTTTTTACAGAAAGTGTTAAATGAATCAATCACCCAAGAAAAATAAATATATCATAAAGAACCAAAAGCTCTGCAGTATCCCTTTTCTTTACATACAGCTGCAGTTCAAACACATACCTTGCTCGTGACAAATCATTATCTACAATGCCGTCACCTTTACATATGGTTGTGAATTAAGTCTGAAAAAGAATCTGTTCTGAAGGAGCCATGAGACAGAGGTGGCATTTAGATGCCATATTTTTGTACCTAGGCAAGAGACATCCACATCGATGCCTATGTTCAGCTGATCAGCTTTTACTCAAGGGCAATTCAATCTTGTGCTTTCAGGAAGTATCGGTTAAACACGTGCGTGGCTCAGCCAGAGCCAGACCTTAAGGAGAGTGAAAGGCAGTATGAACGGTGTGCATGTTACTCACAGCAGTGCAAGCGAGTTCTTGGTATCAATGTCTCTTGGATGTGCATCTCAAATTATGCTGCTTGGCTCATCTCACAGTACTTTTGGCACCAGCCTCACATATCAATTATTCAGTTGGTGACCCTGCCTTTTGAGATCTTCCTCGGAGATGGCAGAGGTCAAGGAGGCTTTCTCATAACAAAGACAGTAGTGGGTAGGCCATGAAATACAAGACCCATATTTATGCTTTATTGAATTACTGTGCAAAAGGGAATACTGCATCAGAAACTGTAGAAGACTATATTTTAATCAGTCACCAGCTGCTGTTATCGGAAACCTGCTAACAATTGCTCCAACTTCATTTGGCTACTTTTTGTTGGTTTCTTTTTTTTTTTTACATAAATAATATAGACCGAACATTATAAACATTTCAGCAACCATTTCTAAAAGACCAGAGGAGCCCTTTTAGGCGCCAAGAAACAACTGCAGGATTCAAATTCCAAAACTGTCTTTGGAGTCATCGAATCATCAGATTTACACGGCACCCAGTGACAACATCATTCAGTCGAGCTCTATTGGACTGCTATCTTCCTGACCATCTTCTGTGTCATCATCTTCTCCAGTTCCCATCAGACTGTTTAAAAGATTTCCTAGAATAAAATACAGGGCAGTCAAAATGCTAGTTTTACATTCTCATCTCGAAAACTAAACTGCTTTCCTTCCATCCTGCTAGGGTGCAGATTTCAATAATAAATTTTAAAAAAGGGGGGACGATTTTGAAGACATCTCAGCAAGACATAAGTATTCCCACACCAGTTTCCATTAAGAATTTACTGATTTGGGAACCTGTTGTTTGATACTGATACTTCTCTAACAGTACACTGGAAAAAAACACCAAAGTCCTATACTTATGTACTATAGCTACACCCTGAGAGGAGGAAAAAGAAACACAACCAAATGAGGAAAGTCACATCTCCAGCAGTGAAACTCTCAAAAAGCAGCAATGGTCTGCATCATGCTATAAAGAACTTGTTTGAAACTCAAAAGGTATTTATGAGTTCTCCCTGTTTTATCCAATTTAAAAATGCTTGAATTGCTGAAAAGCCACTATTTCCATATGGGATCTATGATGCTCATGTTTTTCATCAAACTTTGGGTATCAGTGAATTGACATTTAAAGGTAAAGCCTCAGGTCAGTTTACAGAGAAGCTTAGTTCTCAAGGAAAAACATCTGATCTTATAAAAGTTATCCAGTTCAATTTGCTTACATTTTATACAAGACCAAGAGGAATTCAGCCCTAATTTCCTATTCCCTTTCATTTCTTGTAGAAGGACAGTATTAATTTCAGAACTTCTACTCTGAGAACATTCATATCGGCACCGGTTAGATCTCTACCAAAGTCCCAGATTCGACTTAAGAAAAAACAGCCACTGAAGTATGAGGAAATTAAGCTTTAACACAAACAAGATTTTTCTTTGCATTTGGAATTTGTACCATAATGTCAAAAATTAACCATGAGAGTCATTTACATGCTTCTTCCCTTCTCAAAGATGAAGAAAAGACTGGTGATATCTATAAACAACTGTCAGCATAAACCTTACCTAGTAACCCTCCGTAGGACGATGTCTGCTTGGGTGGAACACCAAAGAAAAGCTGTCCTATTCTATCTAGGTACTGAAATGACACAAGATGAAGAACAATGTCAGCTACTTTCTTTACAGGTGAAAATACTATGGGCAGCAGTCACACCACACAAGCTAGATCACTGACTCCTACTGACAAGTCACAAACAGGAGACAAACAGCTGTTATTTAACTAATTCTGAGGTGAGATCTTGTGTACAACTACAAGTAACTCACCTCATTATACATGGGATCTCTCTTCAGTGAAGGTTGATACTGTTCACACAATACTGTAAATACTGTTAGTTTTCCTCTAGAAAGGAAACAACCAAAAATGTAATCTCGGTAACAACTGAAAAGGAAACCAAGAGCAACATGAGAAAAATCAGACTGTACCCATCAACTGCCAGTAACAGAAACCAGATGAAGTTTAGCAGTGGTTGAACAAAGGGAGGACCCTTTTCTATTGAAGGATGTTTCTGTGTGTATGTCGTAAAAACAACTGATGCACTGGTCTTATTTTTTAAGCAGAGAAACCTGCAAAAGGAAACAGAACACAGCAAGTTAATAAAAGGCAGAGATGTAGTTTTACATGCAGAAAGAAAAAGCGAAGCCAAATGCTCAACAATCTCTACTTCATTTCTGCACAGAAGCCATCTCAGGCTTAAACTGATGGCAAAACTAACTGGTAGAGACATACATCTTTGGCAATGGTTTGGCTATCAACTGAGGAAGGGGGAAATCACCACTAGAATACATTGTGGAATAAGCAGGTTGGGAGGCAGAACTGATATTAAGTATTAATAGAATGAGTTTAACCAAGATCTAAGCAGGTTGCATGCAGGGCAGTTACTAAAAACGGGCATTAATTAAGTAAAAATGTGGAAAAACTGGCCACTGTGTAATTCAAATTAAATATGATACCACATTTACTAGTCTAGAGTTTACTATGCTGAGGTAAAACCTGATTAAAGACATCCCTCCTGGCCCCATCTCCTTTCAAGATGTATCTGCCAGTGTCTGATCACTTTTGCCATTCTATTAGCACTACCTCAAAATAACATGGCATCAAGACCACTAGTAAGTTTGACACACAAAGTCTCACAATAAAGCTACACTTTGAGCTCCCAAGCCATTTGCCACCAGTAAATAGATCAATTTCCCAAACTGAGCAAATCTTTGTTCGGGTTCAGTTAATTTAACTGGCAATCTCTGCAAGTCTCATAGGCCTAACAAGAGACTTTATCTGGGACACACGCTATCTGCAAGCACTGGGAAAGCTGCCACGAGCAGTGTCATTTTTGACTGCAGGCTGGCCTCCAATTCTGTATCCTCACATGTGCAAGGGCATTGGTGTCTTTTGCCTTAATGCTGAGCAAGGAACTGCAATTATTTTCATTAGAGCATAAACTGCTATTTAAGAGGATTTAGTACAGTGGTTGAGATATAGGCCAGAGAAGGATGCAGTAACAGTGCTGTATAAATACTGAAAAAATAATTCCTTACTTGTAACTTCTCCCCACAATTTCCCCCACTCCAGAACAAGGGCCCGTAAAATTGTGTAAGAGTCCTGCATACACTGGATTTCCATAAAGGATTTTCTGCCTCTCAAAATTGCTGCAATCTGTATCAGCCAGCTATGGAAAACAGGACAAATCTGACTTGACAGCTTACTGCTGCCAAAAGAGAGACAGACTTGCTCTCACCTCCTCCCTCTCTCCCAACACCTACTCTCCTCCTGACTCCCTGCTGCACAGTCCTGTCTTCACCTCCTCCTCAGACTCCTCCATGAGCTGCTTTCCCTGACTGAGAAAGCCATCAGCTGATTAAACACACTAAAATTGGCTTTGTCAGCCTTAACTGTACATGAGCTCTGCAAAGGCACATAATAACTTGCATTCCCACCTCCTACAAAATAAATGCAAGCCACAGACCAGGGTGATCCAAGACAAATTATCTTTTAGGACAATGAGACTGAGAACAAGTACTACATGAAAGGTAAATATAGAGCCTACTTAGGTCCAGGTTTAGTAAGAACATCAAGGTAAGCCCTAATTAATTAGACATAAAGTAGTGTTAACAAAGCTAAGAATTGTGCTTTTGGGGTCAAACAGATTACATTAATTCTTCAGGCAATTAACATGATTTCAGGTTTCAACCTTAACATATTTTTGTTGGGGTTTGGGTTTGAGTTGTTCGGGGTTTTTTTCTCTCCCCAGTCCAACAAATTTGACATATCAGTATTGAGATGATTCTCCTGTTGTTATCACACTAAATGAGTTTCAGAAGCTCTGGCCAGTTTTACAGTTTCTTTTGAAAGGGATGCATGGTTAGCCTACAGTTATGAGTAAATTAGACTGGCCTCAAACAGAGTGTCATCTCTGAAAAATAGTTAATAAAAAGTTTAACACCTACTGTAGTACTGCCTGTGCTACAAACATGTCGACCTCACTGCGATATCCCCTGGATGAGGAGTATTCTACTAGCATATTTGCACATCCTTCACCATCTGTGGAGTGCAAGAAGTGATACCGAGATTCACTATAGTTTTGCTCTACAAAAGGAAAAAGAAAAATGTTTTTAAGAAATCAGTTCATCATACCTGGAGATAAAAGCAAATTTGTTAGGCTTATACACAACAGCTGGTAAAAGGATAAGAGTTATACACATGGTATATAAACAAGACAACTAGCAAAAAAGAGCGTGGGCTTTTTCCTTTATAAGTTAACAGACAATTTATGAAGGGAGATAATAAATGTTATTCTAAATACATTTGAATAAATGTTATTAGACACAATTTATTCAATGCCGCCACAAAACACACTGGGACAAACAGCTTGCAGTCATGTTTTATCTAACTACATGTTGACACTTCATGTGCTATCATCAGTGCCGAGGAGATGAATCAAGAAGTTCCATATTAAATTATGTGCACCAAGAAGTCAAACAGCATCTTCAGTGTCCTTCTTTCTAAGTGCACAGAATGAAGGCATTTCCTATTTCTAGTTTAGCCCACTCTTGCTATTAAAATTAAAATTGCTTTCATACGCTGAATAGAACAGCAATTACAAAGGAAAAAAAGGTGTAAAAAATGGCAATGATTTGTCAGAACTTAACTTGAACTGAAGCACCATGCAAAATCACTGCAATGACAAAACTGGATAGCTGCTAATTTTGGGGATTTAAAAGCTTTGTTTTAAAATCTGAGCCTTTTCTGATGAGACTCTCAAAACCTACAGGCTACAAAAAACATACGCATTTTGCTCTTCAAAAGAACAGCGTGCATATGGCTGCAAAATGGGGATTTTTGCTTTCAGAATGCAACTTTTCTTAACCTAATCATATCTCAGCCTCTAACTTAAATACTCAGAGGAAAATCCTCCCTTTCTGGCTGGTAGCAGCCATCAAGCTAAAATAAGTCCCATGAGAACAGCTGTGGGGTTGCCTGTGGCACACAAAAAGGCAATGAGCTGGAATGTTGACCATTGGGTCAGGATTGTTATATTAAACCACTATCATCACTTCACAGAAAAATATAAAATAAACAATCATCTTGCACAGTTACAAATTCACAAGAAACCACAGAAAAGATGGCATTTATTCAACTGTTCTCACTCACCTTTGTTATGTTTTGAACATAAGACTTTAAAAACTGGCTACCATCCACAATTACAATAACTATTTAGTGCATTTTTGTTTTCTCTTACATCCCAAGTGATAAAATCCCACGTAAATCAAAGGCAACATGGAATAAGCCTGCTGCTCAACATCTCAGAAAGTACCTAATTACAGTCCGAAGACTGGTCTGGATGGTAGGTGATATATTTCAATCATTGTCATGTTTACCCAGGATTTAAAAACAATACAAACATAAAAAACTCACAACAAAACAGCTTTGCTCCCCAGCAACCCTCCTCCTAATAACTACCTCAATGTCTAAAAGATCATCCTTCTTTTTACAGAGAGCATTACAGCAGCTGTGGTTTTGGTTTTGCACTAATACAGAGTTACAGCCCCAGCTTTTTTCTATTAGGAACATTAAGCTAAAGTTACTGCTAAAATCAGGTAATAGCAGAACTCAATCAGTCATTTCCATCTCAGCTTCCTTAGGTTATTTCTAAAGTAGATCTCCTGCAGAATCACACCTTCAATATTTTCAACACAAAACACAGAAGGGCCAGTTGATTTTTCTTACCTTTCCACAGGGTAATTGCTAGTAACTGGTGCAGTTTTGGGTGGCCGAGTTTTCCCGATCCCCCGCTAGACCATTTTAGTGCTCTGGATACGAAAGCCACTCTTTCGGGAGAATTTGGATCCATTAAGCTGAACAATTTAGCCAAGTTTTCTGGAAGCAGTAAGATTCACAAATATTTACTATTAACAGAAATAGGATGAACCGCTGCTTCCAATGCATCTTTAAGACACAACATATACGTTCCAGCACTTCTGTGTCTTTAAGCTCCCTTAACAGCCTCCAAAAGCCACCTTAAAAAAGAGTGACTTTGAACTTGAGCCACTTCTCATACATCCAGTCACTCTTGCATCTATCAGCCAGCAGTACTGATACGACTGTCAACAGACACGTCAGCCAAAAGCTGAGCCTTGCAGTCAGCTGGGGACATCTTCTCTTCATGTGAGACCTTCAGGATGACGGACCATGGTCCTTCAGGATATCCTTGAGGACCATGCAGTTCCAAGAGGAGGAAACACTCCAGGTTATGGGGCTGCTTGCCATTCACAGGGAAGCTGTGAGGGCTGTAGTTTGGAAAAGCACCACCAGAAGACATGGATGGGATACAAAATGTCAGAGCTGATCTAAGTAAAAAAAGAACGGCCTTTGTCTGTCTCTATCAATAGGAGCAGCTCACCTATGCTGCAGCAGTCTGGCCAGGCAGTTCTTAAGAAGGTCTCCCTGAACTGCTGCTTACCAAATCCCACAGTTAAACAAGAAAAATGTCCTTCTGACCAGCTGAGTCACAAATAATGTGCACACTACTACACCGCTAGGGTGGAAAACCCCCATCCACCAAAGCCCTGGGGACATGAGTACAGACAATACAGTACTGCTGCATCAACAAGAGAACAATGGCACAAGCCAGTAATGTTTGTTCTGAGCATGCCCACAAAGGTACTGGGAATCCATTATTCCTTAATGAAGTTTTCCCCCAGTCCATTTCTGTGCTGAAGGTAACCCTTAGGCAGTGGCAGGGCATACAAAAAGGATCTGGGGTTTCAAGACTGTTAAAGACAGTCACTGTGAAGCAAAAGCACATCTGAATACCATCAAACTGAGCACAAAGGTTGCCTCACCTAAAAGGTCGTCTGCTACTTTTGCATCCGATTTCTCCAAAGACTCTAAAACCAGCATGGACAGATCAGCGGCACTGTTTTGCTACAAAACAGACACACAGTAGTAGTGATGAACATACCAGTACGTAAAAGAAAACCAGAATTTTGTCACAAGCAGATTTAATACTTCTATCAACATCTACAGCTAAGGCACAGCATCAAGTCTCAACCTTCCCTATAAAAAATTATAGCAATTTGAAGTCATCAAAAGAGAAGTCTGCAGGAAAGCAAAACAAATGTGGTTACAATTACTGTTTGGATGCTCACAAACACTTCTGCTTTAGGTTCCAGTTCGGCATAATCCTTCTTTGTGCAGAAAGACTCAACAAAGAGATAAACCAAAAGATTACAAAGCAATAACCCCAAACATCTACCACTGAGAATTCACCATTCACCTCTCAAAATCTTGGAATAAGACCCCCCTCTACCCAAACCACACACACAAACCCAGTTATGACTTACCTGGTTATGACTGAAGAACAGCAAAGCCCCTGAATACATTAGTTCTCTTGCTTCTGCATGTTTTCCTTGTGACATATACCTGAAAACAATACCAAAGCCTTGATAAAAGCTGTCACTGAAGAAGTTGTGTATGCTTAGTGTTATTTGCAGTTAAAGGATTAAAAGTCACTAAAATTTAAAAAAGCAATAAAGGATCAGGTTAGTTTTAGTAATGATGTAACTGTAAGTGGAAGCTACAATTTTTCTGCTCCAGACGTGACAGAATACAAGCAAAGAGTGTAAGAATGAAAACTGAGAGCTTCAAATCTGATTTGGGCTGAAACAAAGAAAAGGAAATTATTCCAGTTTACCTGAGCAAAAAATGTTAATGCACTGAACTACACCACTCAGACCACCACATCAGAACCTTTACCAAAAGCAGTTTAAGTGTGGCAGGAAGGCAGTTTCCATTTTCCATTTCTCTTCACTGCTTCTCAAAAAGTCTGTTTTCTGAGTAGTTAATAACAACAGCCAATTTGCTCATAGCAAAAAAAGACATCAGTTCTACCAGACTGCTTTAGTATCTGCAATATTCCTTTTGTCCTCTGTGACATCTGGTTGTGCTGTGCCTGTTCCATCCCTTTCTGCTCCCAAAAGTCAGAGCAGCCTCGCACTCCTGCAATAGCAATGTCCTTGGTACTGCAGATCCAACACACAAGCAGCCCCGAGGCTAACAGAGAGGGGTTGGTGGCTCTGGGAGTGAAGCAGGGAGTGGTGGGACTGTGCAAGGAAAATGAGCAGTGAATCCCAAACACTCCTGTGCTGCACACGAGATTCCCATCACACATGACAGGTCCTATAGGCAAAATCAGATCAGACAGTGTTGAGGAGAAGCTCAACATGAGCTGGCCATGCGCACTTGCATCCCAGAAACCATGTCCTGGGCTGCACCCCCAAGCAACGTGGCCAGCAGGTCGAGAGAGGGGATTCTCCCCCTCTACTCTGCTCTCATGAGAGTCCCTACCCCTCAGTCCTGCAACCAGCTCTGGGGGCAACAACGTGAGAAGGACATGAAGCTGTTGGAGCAAGTCCAGAAGAGGATCACAGAGATGCTCCATGGGCTGGAGCACCTCTGCGCTGAAGGTAGGCTGAGAGAGCTCAAAGGAAAACCTTAGAGCAGTTTCCAGCACCTAAAAGGGACCTACAAGAAATCCAGAGAGGAACTTTCTACATTGGCATGAAGCAACAGGACAAGGGAGCATGGCTTTAAACTGAAAAAGCGTAGCTTTAAATTGGATGTTAGGAAAAAATTCATCCCTGTGAGGGTGATGAGGCACTGGCACAGGTTGCTAAGAGCAGCTGTGACTGCCCCATCCCTGTCAGTATTCAAGGCCAGGTCGGATGGGGCTTGGAGCAACTTGGTTGAGTAGAAGGTGTCCCTGCCTGTGGCAGGGGGTTGGAACCAGATGAGCTTTAAGGTCTCTTCCAACTCAAACCATTCTGTGATTCCATGAACAAGCAAGAGAGGAGACAGTCCTCCAGTCCTGCTTATCATCTTCCAACCCCCTCTAAGACCTTTTACCCAGAACACTCAGAACTGCAATAATGGATGGCACAATGGTAGATTTTTGGAAACAGTATCTTCAGCAATTCAGATTTGCAATCGCCACAGAAAACGCATCGTGTGTTGGTCAAACACATCAGCAGCTCCAACAGTTTAGCTGGCTTCACATCTGGGTTTGCTTCCAGGTGTTTGAGTCCAAATCTCAGTGTCGATCCACTTCCACAAATTCTATTTCCAGTAGTTTCTCAATGCTATTTGGGAGCTCTAACCATATGATAATGGTAATTATCATACCAGATACTAAAAGATGCTGAAAACAGCTTTACAATATAAAACCCATTTTAAAATGTTGGGAGGTTTGGGTAGGTTTTGTTTTTGTTAAGAACTTTTATTTTTGAAGGTGTTCTTAACAGAAATAAATATCCATGATATTGATCTAAATGGCATTTAGAACAAGAGAAATGCTGTAACAGATTACTCATACCACAGAAGGTACCTACAACCATCAGGAAAACAGAAACCAATGTAACAGGGATGTTAAACTTGGAAGTTGGACTCGATCACGAAATCACAAGAAGAGAGTTCAACCCTGTAGCCTGTACAGTAACAGCACCAGCCTAGGAACGCGACTCCCTCAGTGGCGCGGGTCAGGCAGGTAAAGCAGTGATCCACCCGCCCCGTGGATCACAGGCAGGGATACGGGGCCCCCAGAACAAAGGCTCATGGTAATCTTTCCTCCTCCACTTCTTCCCCTCCTCCACCCTCAAGTACATCTCCATCCAGGACTTTTGAAGCTCTGAGTCAGGATTTCAGGTTTAACACACACTTCATGAGAAAACAGAGCAATGTTCTGCAGGCCAGTATTGTTTAAAAGGAGTAAGCCCTGGATGTTCCAGTTACAATTCCACAGCTGAGATCACCTCGACCGTGTTCACGTGTCCCGGGGAAAACTGCTGACATTTCACACACATTTTATGGAGGACATACAAGCCTGTCCAGGACTCTTCCTTGGCCTCAGTGCCTTTCCAAACAAGTTTCACAGCGCCGTTACACGTTTTTGCCTACAAGGAAACCCTCTTCCTAGCTATGCAAAATATCATCTTTTCTTTTAAAGGAGCACCTCCTTTTGCTTCCATCGAAAATGGAAAAGGTGGGATCTTTGACTCCAAAATAATTCAGGTAGGCTTAAACAAAGTATGAAAGTGAATACATTCAGAAGCCTGGATGAGAAGTGACAAGTCAATCCATGTCATCTGCCACCAGTGCTGCCATCACATCACATAACCCTTACTATAAAACAGGGCAAGCTTTGTCTTCGACTTACTCACAAATACAATTTAAGTCTTTAGGCTTAGACTGTGCCCTCACTGATCCCATCAGGTGGCTGTGGCAAAACACAACTGCTTTAATTTAATGGTGCTTGTCATAGAGGGTAGGGCAGGCTCTCTGCTGCACACCGCCAGCATAAGTCAGACTGTGCAGAAGAACTCTCTTCCCCACACACTTGGCTGTTCTTTTCCTGTAGACACCCACCAGCCTGTTCCCATTCTAACTTAGATAAGGTCTTGGGACAGGTGACGCACAGGTGAGCTACTGAGACCCAGCAGGCAGCCTTCCCACCTCTCCTCCCCGAGCAGAGCTACAAGGAAACAAAGCTGGGCCCAACTAAGGAAGCCCCTAGAAAAAATACCTTAATCTTTGCCCCTGGAAGCAAGGGGTTGCATTTTAAATTTTGATGTGAGAAAGGGCAAACAAGTTATGGTGAATGTGGAATATAAAATCCAGAAAACGTTTTGCAATGAAACTCAGGAAGTAGTAATAGTTCTGAATAAATACCCAGGCCTGCTCTACTTAGTCATTGCCAAAAAGAATTACACGAATACATCAACTGGAATTTAATGTAGAAATCCCCTCTCCATCTCCGTGCAGATGGTTCTTGCCATTCTGAGAGCTGCCCCTCACAGTGGTGCCAGAGGGTCACTGCCATGCAACAAAGCAGCCGCACTTCCTGGCTAAGCAACAACTAACC